AGTCACGGCAAATTGCAATTTTAGTTTTTTCTGACAGGCAGAGATCTTTTATTTTTGATAAAAAAAGAAACAAAGTGGAGATTTTCCATCAAACAATTATTTAACCTGACAGCCATTTACTATTTTAAAATATTATAATGGTGTTTCTGCAAAAAAGTAGGACCTTAAACCTCATTTCATTTCATAATGCTGTTTCCACTGTAAAAGCTTAGTTGGACCCGGATTTGACATAGATTTTACCTGCCTTCGTTGATGAATGACTTGGCGTGTGCACTGAAATATCTCATTCCAGAACCAAAAAGAGCCTCATAAAGTCAGTCATCTTGTAAATCCTCAATTCACAAGGTAATCAGGACTAAATAGTTATCATGTAATACAAAAAAGCGTACATACCGAACAAGATGACAGACGGGTCGGAACATTTCTACTGACAATTTTAAAGGTAGCTTGGACTTAATTTTGAGTAATTCTGACCCCAAGACAATTGTTAAACCATTTTATGGCACAAACACTAACAGTTCTGCAATCTTTCGAGTGGAAACACTCAGACCTGGCTTGAAGCTACCTGAAAGCTAGCTTTTGTCCTGAGTGGAAACAATACTTGTATTATTGACTAAATTTATGAGTAGATAATTGTGATTGTGAATGTCCACTCTTGTTATTGAAGCTATAGATACAATTTATTTATTATACATCGACTGACCTGGGGCAATGTTTGCATTTATTCTTTAGATATAAATCTTTAAACCACTACTTGTAACACACAGAAGGAATTTCACAACAAAAATTAAGAAAACAAACAAAAGATTAAAGAATTCTATTAATTATTTTATAAGTAGTATCTTAAAAAAAGTTGTTCGCTTGTAAAGAACTACTTATTTCCCTATGTTTAAGACATAGTACAAGAGTATACAAGTAAAGAACAATTTATTTTCTGATGTATACGATTTATAAATGTCTTAAACTGCTTTTGATCTCATACTTTTTTAAATCATGAATTTCTGACTTGCAAATCTTGATGTAAAAATTTCGTTTCGAACGTCAATTTATGGTTCACCATTTAACAGATGGGTTCTGTTTAAAACAGCTAATGTATTGTATTGATAAAGAAAGGGTTTGTAAATGCTCAAGTGTATAGTCAGCTATAAGTTTCGAAAACATGACATGAATCAAATGCGGCATTAAAGGCACTAAGTCTCTAACTCAAATACTGTAATATTTGAAGTTAAAAACATGAAATAGAATTCAATATTGATCAATTTCAATCAATATTCATGTTTTTATCTTGCTGTGAAACTATATAGGATTCTAATATCCAATATTTAAGACACAATTAACATTTTATAGTCAGTACACGAGCTGTGTACCCTATGGTTTCGGGTGCCATTTTGTAATGAAGAAATAAAAACATATCCTACAACAGAATGTGGAAGTAATTAGTAAAGGCTGATTCACAAATGACAAAATAATAATTTAAGAAACTGTTCACATATTTCACCGAACATAATTGATTAGAAATTACAATTTTTTATTTTGAAAATTGATTATAAATCAGTTGACATACATTCATATTACATTTATATGTGCTTTTAGAACCATTCTTGTCTATTTCAAACAATACACCTTTTAAAATATGACATGCAATATTAACAAAATAGTTAACTAGTAAAGAAGCACAATTTCTGCTACACTGTCTCTTCTAGACAAATCCCTAACATAACTTTGATTAATTAAGACTTGCCATAATCATACATTGGCATCACGGAACTATTAACAGTTACCTAGGTAATCAGAATCCACAACATATTAATCAAATATGTCTCTTCATAGAATCCTGTCTTACCCCAAAAATCAAAAATTAAAAAAAAGAAATGTTATGGCTCATTCAGGAAATGGTACACGTCTGTCTTATACACTAGGAAATGCGTATTAATTGAGGACTCTGGAATATTTTGAGTTAAGATCCTGCTGTTAGGGTGTTTGATGTTTACTGATGTGTCTCATTTGTCTGAAAATTACAGAAATAATTAAGTCGTTGATGAAACGTTAAACATTGAAACTAGTAAGTGAAAATAAAAAGAAAGCAAAAAAGACCTTATGAGATTAATGTCTATTGTGAGTATACCTTTAATAGCACACATGGAACTATAGACAGGTGCTTACCTCAAATATCTATGACCTGCTTGTTAAATAAAGTCTTAACAGACCAATAAGTTTTCTTGAAAAATATTATTACTTATTTCGCCTGCTTTAACAATATTGTATAAATACCCACTTAGTTGAACTCACCAATAAATTGCTGTGATTGTCTATGATATCAATTTCCCATAGTTTGGTATGGTCAAACATAAATGGATGTTTTTATGTAGTAATATAGATGCTATCTTTGCCAAGTTTCACTAAACATATTCACTAAACTGATGATATTAATATGCTAAAACAGACCAACCATTTTTGTTGCAACATAATTAAATAGAATTAAATCGCACATAAACATTTTGAACAAATTTGTATTAACACGTGTGTAGTCTTCAAGCCAATAAAATATCTTTATGATGACATCCAGATAATAAGATGATAACTGGTGGTAAACACTATAGATGAGAAATTACAACTATTGGGCTATATATACCTAATATTTACCTATTATTAGAAACATGTGAAAGAAGAGTGTTTACAAGGAATCTAAATACATCTCTCCTACAATTCTTATACAAATGTAGCAAGTGTTTTATATCATACAGTACCTACAGTATTCACACACCAAATTACACTCACCTGAATAAATTACTCAAATACATTTGTTTTCAAATGTAGACTAATGTGTTTCTAGTTTCTCATATAAAACTATGAGAAGTATGTAGTCTAATAACTTATACTACTGAAGGAGATAAACCTCTTTGATTTAGGTCAAAATATAGTATTGAATTGGGCTCATCAGAAGTTTTATTCTGATAGTGAAGATTTTTGTTTTAAAGATTATACATACATTATGCAAGAGCTAAATCTGCTTATTGCAGGTCTTTTTTTAGGCCTGAAATGTTATCTAAATTATTAATTAGACATTAATTAACTTATCCAGACCATAATCAACTCTCGATGTCAATGCTAGACTGCGATATTTATTGGATTAATATCCGATTTGCTGCTAAACTTTCATTCATGGTTTAATCATGAAATGGATAATCGAGACTATGTTTTTTATTGTACCGACTTTAGTAATGATGATCTCGGTTCAGAGTGGATCAATTTGACTGAAATTTTCAGGAAATTCCCATTATATTATATAGTTTTTATACGGCCACATTTTCATGTGGACGTATATTGTAGCCGCCCCTGTCCGTCCGGACGTCCATCCATCTGTCCACAATTTGTTTGTGGACATTCTACAGGTCACATTTTTTATCCGATTTTAACGAAACTTGAAATATAGGTCTATCTCCCAAAGATCTCGTTTCCTTTCGATATTGGCATGTATCGAACCATAACTTCATGGATTATGGCTCCTGATTGTACGAAAAATCATGTTTTTAGCTTTTGTGGAGGTCACAATTTTGATCCGATTTTAATGAAACTTAAAATGCATGTTTATAACCCAAAGATCTTGTTTCCTTTCGATATTCGTGCATATCAGATCGTCACTTCCTGAATTATGGCCCCTGATTGTACGAAAAATTGCGTTTTTAGCTTTTGCACCCTCTAGAGGTCACAATTTTTATCCGATTTCAAAAACTGTTTTAGTATATCACCGTTACACCCTAATGAGGTTTGAGTTCGAATTTTATGAAAATTGGACCAAAACTGCCAGACAAAATGACTGCCCCTTGTACGCAAATAGTGTAAAATATGGTATATCAAGGTTGTGAACCCTCTAGAGGCCACAATTTTTATCCGATTTGAATGAAACTTTAAATATATGTTTTTATCATAAAGATCTTGGTTTCTTTTGCTAATCACATATATCCGAATGTAACTTCCTGCATTATGGCCCCTGATTGGTCGAAAAATCACATTTTTAGCTTGTGGATTCTCTAGAGGTCACAATTTTTATGCAATTTAAAAAAAAAACGTGTAAATATACCACAGTTATACACTAATGATGGTTGAGTTCGGATTTCGAGAAAATCGGACAAAAACTGATGGACATAATGGTATATCAATGTTGTGGACCCTCTAGAGGCCACGGCCTCTATCCGATTTGAATGAAACTTTAAATATAAGTTTTTATCATAAATATCTTGGTTCGTTTTGCTAATCACACATATCCAAATGTAACTTCCTGCATTATGGCCCCTGATTGGTCAAAAAATCGCATTTTTAGCTTGTGGATTCTTTTTCCGATTTTAAAAACTGTTAGGATATATCACCATTTCACCATAATGAAGGTTGTGTAATACAAAGGTTATGGAACCTCTAGAGGTCACAAATTTTATCCGATTTTGATGAAACTTAAAACATATCTTTATATTCCAAAAATCTCAGTCCCTATTGATATTTGCGCATTGCAGACCATCACTTTCTGGATTATGACCCCTGATTGTACAAAAAATCGTTTTTGTTTTTAGGTTGTTTTCCATCCATCTCTTGCAAAATGTGGGTTAACTATTATAGTGAGAGCTGCCAGCTCTTTATCTAATCTCCCATAATGTATCTTTAAGGAATGGTCAGCTTTTTTGCAGATTTTAGATTCATCTCAGAGTTACTGTGTCGACAGTGGGACACAAAACCAGTTATATGACAACACTGCCTTTTAATTATCTATAGACATAAAATTTTAAATGAAGACAGATTGTCATCTCACAAAACTAAATCAACATATGAAATCGACAATATTAGTTTTGATCAAAATCAAAGAGATTAGGTCCTTAATCATATTAGCTGTTTTGGATTTTTGCCTACATATATATATCTAGGTCATGTGTAAGGCGTATATGTCTATGTCGTATTATCAAACTGAAATTGTTAAACACCTTTAATGATTTGATATTTTATTGTTTCAGGGTTGCACTATGGGAATTCCTGTGTCCTTGCGGGTGGATGCCAAAGGCCACATCCTATTCTGGAAAGATCAGAATAAGGTAAGGATCGAACAATATAATATGCTTTCAGCCAAAGGCTTTAAGGTTTATTCACCAGCATGAGACAACAGCTTTTCTGTACAAGAAGAGCTGATTTAATAAGACCACATTAGAAAGATTTGTTCCCAGTTTAGATACAGTATTCACTTCTGGTATTAAAAATATGACAGGATGTCATACTACTGCAAATATAACTATTAATATAGAAATATGGTGCATTTTATCCCCCAGAAACTCTTTAAATAACAGGGATATATATTCACTTCAATCATTCTTTATTTTCTTTCAGGAAATGGACTCTTTGGACATTTCCCTAATTCGAGATGCAAGAACCGGAAAGTACGCTAAAATTCCCAAGGTAAATTGATTTTAGGATTTGTATTTTATTTCCAGATGATGTACATTTTAAAGGGACATGACCAGATAAAATGATGTTAGAAATTGTGTAATTTTATTACGCTTTTATTACAGTAATGCACACATCAATGTCCCATTCCAGTATTAAAGACCTCTTTCTATTGGGTAAAAATTTAAAAAAAATGACCATTTAAGAAAGTTTGATGAGTAATGTTTCTTTGTGAAGTGGATATCTGTCTAGTTGACAGTTTAAGCCAAAAACAAAACTTGATATCTTAAAACGAATTTTAATCATACAAAAGTTCATCCCATCACTTATCAAATTAACATGTCAGATCTACCTAATTCTCAACACTTTATTTTAGCACCATTAAGATTTTACAGTACCGGTGTTTCGGCTTGCTTGCCATATTTTTTCTCAATCCTTACAGTTTGAAATCAAGTGAATAAGAGTAGACTGTAGCATTGTTGTCAGGTAAACATTTCACTCGTAGCACACTTCATGGCATGTGGCAGTCCACCGAGTTGTTGTGATTTTGTTAAATTGGAGCTCACATTTCCAAAAATGCTGAAAATTATTTTAAATGGGAAACTTTTTATAAATTGGGTATATTCGGTATCGGTACTAGCAAGGTTTGTTGGGGAAGTTTTCAATGAGTTTCACTGATATTGATCTATGGTGTAAGATTTTGTCGTAAAATCTGTACAGTACGTTATTGAGGTTCTGCTGCTTTGGGCATAAGATATTCATTATTATATGGGCTATTTAGTTAGATATCTTATAATGATCTAGCTTAGATAACTTATTGATCTATGTTTAATTTAGTTAAGGAAGTGATACAGGGATTTTTTTGTAAGATTGTAAGTTGAGTGGCTAGCATCATGTCTTTTTCTATAGTGAATCTAACAATGTTATCTATTCAGAGTATTTTTAACACAGTTTTGTCTGATGTCAATGACACTCACCACTCAGTTGGGTAGCGGTTGTTATCTTGATCCTCTCTATTAGACTTTATTCATTGGTTGGATTTCATTCTTATGATAGGAATTAGAAACCTACCAGAATAAAACCATTGTTTGGTTTTAGTGAATAAAATGTCTAGCTGGCCTTAGGAACAAATTCAGATTTTTATATAACCATGTTTACATTACCATTTTTAAGAGTGCCAGGAACGGTTGAATTTTTAGTAGTGTAAGGGAGTCAAACATAAACATTTTGTTCTGGACCAGCTAAGTGAGGTGGTCACTTAACCGTTCTGAAAATGATGCATGGTAAGCATTATGCCATTCTTAGAACGGCATGGTAAAAATTATCCCTTCTCAGAATGGTTGTTTGCTCATTCTTCAGTATTTAATTCAACCCTTTTTCTTGCGATTTTGTCATACGAGAAGTACAAGCTATTTATAAATGAAATGACTTTGCTTTGTCTCCTCTTGTTTGGTCAAGTGGTTTAATGAGTTCGCATAAAATCATAAGGTCTGTCAGTGAGTCAAGTGACAGGGTCACATGTAGAACCTCATGGGTTTTCTCTGTGTCCTCCGGTTATCCCCCCCTGTTAAAGACCCCTACAAACAAGCAAATCATTGAAATAAAATAGAACCATATGGTAGTCCCGAAATGACCTTGTTTGTGTCGAGTGGACGTTAAATCTCTCTCTCTCCCTCTCATTTGGTCTTTTTTTTGATGAGACATTTCAGGAACAATTTAGAAAATGAAAACGAGTGGACCAAACAAATGTAATCCGATCGCCTGCATTTATTTTCACCTGTGTAGTATGCTTTGGGGAATGAAATTAACTCTTCTGTGAAGAGTTCCACATTTAGTGTTCTAGGAACGCTTCCAGTTATTGTACAACAATGTAAACAGTGAAATTTCTTAAATTTTATCGTCGCCCATTGTAAATGCAGCTAATCAATATTGGCATTACATATGCAAATAAATGGATTGTGTAAAAATTCTTAAAAGGACGATTTTCTATGACATTGATAATTGTAGAGTCAACTTTATTTTCTGGATTAAAGTTAATTAAAATAATTAAGACAACGTATGGTATTAAATCTTTGTGTTCACATTGATTATAGTCACGACCATTCCATCAAAGACCAGATCATTGATTATCAATTATTTTCACTTGTCTAATGACTGCTGTGGTGTTAGGGAAGGTAATTTACACTGAGTTGATCACATCCTTTTTAATTAAAGCCTTTGTCACTTTTACTAAAAATAAATTCTTCACAGACTATTTCCATGATATTCCATGTTTCTAAAATGTTTGATTTGAATTTGGATATGGGAGCATAAGTAATCTATTTTTAAAATCAGAATGGAAAATCAATTATCGATTACAAATACTTTATTGGCAATGTTTTATATTGTACTACTGGAAAGAATGCATAATTAAAGATATAAAAAGATTGAAAATACAACAATGTTCTTGCAAGCCATTGTCAAATGTATATCTAGGTAAAATAACAGGTAAACAAGAAATGAATTAAATGGGACAATAGTTCCTGGCAAAAACTTTATGGAAGTTATTCTAGTATCATTATTTTTTTTAAAAAACTCATAAATCGTGAATATTGGTTTGCTCACAATGTTACATGTAAAAGCCTATCTATTGATTTCTTGGAATAGTTTTATTATCAAAATCTTATTCCTTTTGTAAATTGTAATTGCTTTTTGTTTTTAAACATAAAGACCATCATGTAATGATTTTGTGTCAATTTTTCTGAAACAGATTAATTTATTTTCCTTCCTGAAAGTTTGATTAGTGTTTATAATGATTTATGTGTGTAAGCCTGTATTGTGGATTATTTTTGATTTTGAGTTTTGTTTATATCTTTGATTATTCAGAAATTTATTTCATCTTAAGATATGTGTTCTTCCCATTAAAAAGGAAAATTGCTGATTTTGGTAGGAATTGTTCTCGTTCGTGAAATTGGTTTAAGTTGGTTGATGATAATACCAGCCAACGGTTGTTCCACAGATCAACAGCATTAATTTTACTCTTTTGACCCAAAATAATCAAAAGTATATCACTCCACATTGGAATATTAAAATTGGCTATTTACTACTTGGTAGTTTCATGGAAAATATTATGAAAATAATGTATTGTTTCTTTTTTAAAAAATTGAAATTCTTAATTCTATTTAAGGATTTTGAAGAGCTACACCCACATGTGAATATGTTTAGATTTCACAATATTATATGCTCAATATTTGATTTATATAATGAATAGCCTCCAGTACTATTCACTTGAATTTTCACGGATGTTAATTCATTGATTTTTTAAAGACTTGATAGATAGAATGATTAGATATTGAGGTATTTTAAGTAGGGTGGTTTTTAATCATGTTATCTTTGTAGCTAAATTTTGTTTATCTCAACACAATCTATATCTATAGAAAGTGGCAGTGATATGCAGACTATATTTTCATTGGTCTGTGATAAATTGAAGGCATTTCAGTATATAAACACTTAAAAACTAAGACCATTTAATAAATCATTGAGCGAAATCTTTATTAGTATTTATACATACTGGTATTTTGATATCCTAGTGTGGTAGTATTTACTGGTAGAAGAATTTCATAATTTGGATGTTATTTAGAACAAGTTATCCAGCCTAGTTCCTGTATAGATATACAATGACCAGTGTTTGTCACAGTCATAGCTAAATGATCAAACTTTATCAGTCTCAACAATTTACATCCGTTAGCCTCCCGTAAACAATTCTATTTTCCGGCTCCTTCTCCTGGATTGATTTCATTTTATTTTGGTAGGTGCATTGCCAAGGTGGTTCTGATTGAGATAATTTCAATAAAGATGCTGAGTAGGAAAACCTTTAAGAGGCAAATTTAAATAATCTTAAAAAAAAATGTCTTCATTAGAATGGCTAAATGGATATCTTTGAAGTTTGGTAGGAGCCATGACTTTTGACCCTTTTACCTTTTTATACGCCCACATTGAAATGTGGTCGTATATTATTGTTTTTGACTGCTGTTTCAAATGGCTGCTGAATTTGCAATCACCTCATGTGCAGTATTTTTTCTATGCATTGGCCCGAACTAGTCATCTTGAGTGACACATGATGGTCCCTGTCACCTGTCAGCAAATTGTCATCCACACTGCCATTCACAAGTATTCTTAGCCATTCTTGGAATATAGTAAGTCCAGTATTCCTGATAGTGAGTGTAGGAGAACCGTACCACACGTAAATAAATAGAAACTCAAAAGACAAGATACACCTAAAAGATTCCTTGACAGTTAGAATTTTAGATAAAAAGACCGATAACAGAGAAAACAAAACAAAACAAACACTTTTCTATATGTAACTTTTGTGGCAATGTAGGTTGGAATAAAATATTACACATTTGATTGAAGAACAAAAATAGAGGGGAGTCATTCTTTTCTTTATGATTATTAAGAAAACAAAATTGCACTTTGATGAACTAACAAAACCACTTAGTACCAGAATACACGAAGCAAACTATCATCAAGAATTTAAGTGAATTGTAATGATATTATTGATTAGGGTAAATTGAGCTGAAAGTTTCATGAATTCTTACCAGCTAATTTCATTTCCCTCTCACCTATAATTCGAGTTAATAGATAGTCCAACACCTTGTGAGTGTCGCGACTAATCTCTGTCGTAAAGGTGTGAGCATTGATTGGACTTATTGATGTCGTTTGCCCTCAAATGCTCTTTAATATTGATATTTATGATCGTAATCTTTCCAATGGCGGTAATTCTGTCAGTCAAGCGCCAGTTGAATAATAATCTCTTCGCACAGTGTCTCCTGTTTATACTCTCCTTTAGAAATCCGAGACTAAGTAGTGTAGTAGATTGTGGTTGATGTTTATGCTAATCAGACAGAGTTATAGGCAATTTTAACATTGTTGACAAGAACTAATTTTCTTTGACAACATGAGTTAGGACAGTGAACAATGCCTGTTAATGATTAAGATTTCTTGATCTTTCAGACTTCTGTTGAGATTTAATT